TCTCACCAGCTGTCGCGGCGTATAAAGCACATACGCACATGTTCTTCACGAACTAGTCACAGATCTGGATCTACCTTCAATACTTATCCATCTCTGTAAGTACTCGAACCGTACTCCCGTCCGTGTTTGATATCATGAATGTCCGACTTCACTGTCCGACATGTTCGACTGTTCTTTTATCTGTTAAGATCCCATTTCACCAACACAGATTGTCATTCGAGAGCTCGACACAGCTATTAACATGATCAACGCTTCCCCAACCATGGGGACCAGCTTTGACGAATCGGTCGCTCACATCAAAGGGTTCATTGGCAACAGAGAAGATACCCTCGTCCTGGGATACCCCGCAGTTTGTTGTACTCTGTTTTTTATTGAGTCCTTGTGGTCATTTTCACCCTCTTTAGCACGAACCTCATGTGGTCGACTTTACTTGTTACAAATCAAATGTAACAATTGATTATATAAGAGTTCAAAGCTTCCTTAAGTGTCTACTGATGTTCGCTGAAGTTTGCCCCCGTGGGGCTAGAAAGTTTACGACAAAAGCGGAACATCTGTAAATTGTTGTAAATTCTTTCAAATGCCCAACAAGAAATCTACGACAATTTTTGTTGTAATTTACGACAATTTTTGTCGTAGATTACGACATTTACGACAATGCATGCGCCCCATTGCCAGGAGCGAAAGAAATAACGTTTTTTAACAGCAGTTGAGGTCTTTTTTTGTTCCCCTTGGTCATTGTCGCTAAAGATTTTACGACATTTTTCTTGTAATTTACGACAGGCTACAACATTTTTTGTCGTAATTTACGACAAAATCGGGAATCGGAGGATCTAATGACCATAGGTACTTTTCGAAACCTTTTACTTATAATCAAAAAGATTTCTGTATAACAGTGATCGCCGTTTTTTGAGGCATTTCGGACATTCGGAATATCCAAAATTGTCGTAAAAAATTGTTGTTAAGTTTCACGACAATTTTTTGTCGTAATTTACGACAGTCTACGACAAAATCGGCGGAGTAGACGGCATTGCATGCGTGTCGGATTAACCGCTTCAAATTCTTTGTGGAATCCTACCCACTTGGCATTGGGGCCCGCAAGCCCTCCACCCTTTCAAAAATGTTGTTAATGACCCAGTCATTGTCATAAACCTGTCGTAAATTTGTTTACAGCAATTTTGGGATATCTTGCAGTCATTAACGACAATTTTACAGCTGATTTTCACTCAAGAAATTTTTTTTATATAAGAGTAGGCTACAAATACGACCAAAACCTTGACATGTTAAACAAAAGTTAATTTCCACGAGCAAAGAAGATATAGAATCACTGAATACCCCTGCAGAAAGAGTGAGCAAGTCGGCCCGTCACGCATTTTCGCTCAGATTGACGACAAACTGCGGCATATCCCTGGGCAAACGATCACGTGACGGAAGACACATTGCCTCGGTCGACACCAGGCATCGACCCCCAAACGAATGGCATGCAATGCCTAAAGACGAACGGAATGCAATCATGGAAGAACGCAAACAAAAGAAGCGCAAACTTGAAAATGGAACCAAGAAAGACAAGGTGACTCCCAAGGATTCTGGAGCAGGCAAGAAGACTGACAAGAAAAATGGCCAAACTACTTTGAAAGAATTGAAACGCCGTATTGCCGAGCTTGAATCCAAGGAGTCTGCCCAAACACAGGATAGAAATGACAACGATGACAGGACTGGAGGCAACGATACTGGTAATGCTGCCAACGGAAACCGCACCAACCCTGCGCTAAACCGTGGCCAACAAGGTGATAGTGACTGAAGCCAGCCCCGGATTGTCCAGCTTCGCACCATCAGCGCCATCCGGACTATTGCAATTACCCAGACCAGCCCGCTTGCGGAAGAGACCACGCTAGAACTGGACTCCCACGCTGACACCACTTGTGTCGGATCCCAAGCAATGATTGTCTCGCGCTCTGGAAAGGTTGTGGATGTCTGTGGCTATGATCCTTCCACCACTAGCCGCCAACTTGAGGTTGTCACTGCTGCTATTGCATACGATCGACCAACCACCGGTGAAACCATCATCCTCGTCCTCCATCAAGCCATCCATGTCCCGAATATGGACCACCATCTTTTGAGCACAATGCAATCACGGACAAACGATGTTACCATTAATGACCGCCCAAAATTCCTTACTGCCTGCCCCAATGACAACGACCACTGCATCCTTGCCCCATCTGACGATCCCGACGATATTACCCGCCTCCCGCTACGCATCCACGGCACCATTTCCTATCTCAATGTCCGCAAGCCCACCGCCGCCGAATTTGCCAACTGCGAACATGTCTCCCTCACCGCCGACGCACCAGACTGGGACCCCCGCACCACCAAATACCAACTTGTTGAAGACTCTCTGGTCGACAATGCCGGAAGACTGCTGGAGAGAGGGGACCTGAAAGACCGACACTTCATTTCACCGCTCTATTCTGAACTCTCCACCAATAATCCACGCATCATCTCCGAAACCGTTTCCCAAGAACATGCTATCCTACACAAAATTGATCCCAGATTGAACGACCATCACTTCTCACAACAGCTGAGTGACATGGTTCAAATCTCTTCTGTTCGGTCCGCATACAAAGGCCCTGCAGTTGACGCGATCAAGCTAGCACGCAACTGGGGGATTGGGATCGAAGCACCCACAAAGACAATCCAAGCAACTACCCAACGAGGAGCTAGGACTATACTGCACCCATCCCTGACCAGGAGACGACCAACAAACGATCGCTTCATCCGACTCCGACGATTAAATCACAACCTATATGGCGATCTGATGAAAGCCGATGTGAAGTCCAAGAGAATGAATGAATACGCACATATTTTTGGTGCAGACAATGGCTGGTGCCGGGCCCATCCACTTCGAACAAAAGGACAAGCACCTGAAGTGCTATCCACCTTATTCAACAGGGACGGCGTTCCACCGGCCTTGATAGTTGATGGAGCAAAGGAGTTTGTCAGTGGGGACTATAAGAAACGTGTCCAACAAGCTGGATGTGACCTCCGCACGACGGAGCCATATTCACCATGGCAAAACACTGCTGAAGGCACAATCAGGGAGCTGAAGAAAGACACTGCACGCGTCATGCTCCGTACTGGAACGCCAAAGAGGCTATGGGATGATTGTTTGGAACATCGGGCCTACATCCGATCTCACACTGCCCTTAACATATACAACTTGGATGGGGAGGTGCCGGAGACTGTTATGACTGGACAGACTGCAAATATTGGTCCATGGTGTGATTTTCAATGGTATCAATGGGTAAAATACTACGATGAGACCGCAAAATTCCCTGATGATAAGATGTCCCTTGGACGATACTTGGGACCAAGCCCTGGAATCGGATCCCTCTTGACTGGAAAGATACTTAAGAACAACGGGAACTACCACCACACCTCCACCTTCAGAGCCCTAACATCCGAAGAAATGGCTGACGACGCCAAGAAACGCCTACATAATGACTTCAATACCTATGTGAATGACAAGTTGGGTGACAAGGCAAAGCCTGAAGATCTCAGTGAGGACGATCTCACCCCTACATATGACCGTTATGAGGATGATTCTGGAGAAGGATTGGATCTGTTGCCTGACAGGGATGAGCAGCAGCACGACTACTATGATCGATACCTCAATGCTGAAGTGCTGCTTGCTAGAGGGGACAAGATGGTGACTGGAAAGGTCACTGGACGAAAGAGGGAAGCAGACGGAAATCTGAGAGGAAATGGGCATGCTGTCCCAATGCTGGACACTCGCACATATACCGTTGAATTCCCTGATGAGGCCAAAGCCACTTATGCAGCAAACGTACTTGCTGAGGGAATGTACCTGCAATGTGATGAGAACAGCAATCAATTCCTCCTGCTCGACTCCATCATTGACCAAAAGACAGAGAAGACTGCAATCCAACCTGGCAACAACAGATTCCGATACCATGGACGACTTGTCCAGAAACGTACAACAAAAGGATGGCAGCTTTGTGTCCAATGGAAGGACGGTACCACTACTTGGGAGCTACTGTCTGATCTCAAGGAATCTTTCCCCAGTGAGGTTGCTGAGTATTCCGTCGCAACTGGAATAGATCACCTACCTGCATTCAAGTGGTGGGTTCCATACATCTTGAAGAAACGAAATGCAATCATTGCCAAAGTCAGGAGCCGATACCACAAGCGAACACACAAATTTGGCATCAGAGTTCCCAAAACAGTCCAAGAAGCCCGTGAACTTGATCAAATCAATGGCAACAACTTGTGGGAACAGGCCCTTTTGAAGGAGATGAGCAATGTTCGTGTGGCTTTCAAGATGCTCAACAAGGAAGACAAAGCACCAGTTGGGCACACCAAAAACAAGTGCCATATCGTTTTTGATGTCAAAATGGAAACACTCCGCCGGAAATGCCGACTGGTTGCTGGTGGCCACATGACTGAGGCACCATGTCCTAGCGTAACTTACTCGAGCGTTGTATCTCGTGAATCTGTCCGAATTGCTCTAACACTTGCCGCTTTAAATGCATTGGAAGTCAAAGCTGCTGACATCCAGAATGCCTACTTGACAGCGCCTCTCGTCAGTGAAAAGATTTGGACAGTGTGTGGCCCTGAATTTGGGAAGGACAAAGGCCGCAAAGCTTTTGTTGTACGCGCATTATATGGATTACGGGCCGCTAGGCATGACTACAGAACATTCCTCTCGGAGTATATGCAAAATCTGGGATGGAAACCTTGCTTGGCCGACCCTAACGTATATTACATGCCAATGACAAGACCTGACGATGGCTTTGAATACAACTACGCCTACGCACTCCTCTACATTGACGACATATTAATAATCCACCACGATGCTATGGGAGCGCTCAAGAAAATCGACTAGGCATTCACGGTGAAACCAGACTCTGTTGGCGACCCCGATATCTACCTAGGGGCCAAGTTCCGAACTACCACTCTGAAGAACGGGGTTGTTGCATATTCCTTGAGTCCGAGCAAATATGTACAAGAGAACGTGAGGCTTGTGTTGAACTACTTAGAGGAACATCATGGTACCACATTGAAGAAAGGATCCAGAGCCAGATCACCCTTACCAAACAACTACTGTCCTGAACTTGACATGACAGAAGAACTTGAAGGAGAGGAAGCATCCTATTTCCAATCCCTTGTTGGTATTTTGCGCTGGATGGTCGAACTTGGTAGAATTGATATCATCACTGAAGTTAGTATGCTTGCGTCTCACCTTGCTCTTCCCCGCAGAGGACACCTCAAATCTATTTTCCACATGTTCTCCTACCTGAAAGCTCATCACAATGCTACTATTGTAATGGACCCATCCTACCCACAGATCGATCACTCTGTCTTCAAGACATGCAACTGGGCCGATATGAACCCTGGAGCAACGGAGCCAATACCTCCAAACGCGCCTGAACCACGAGGCAAGTCCATTGATGTCATCCTGTATGTTGACAGTGACTTAGCTGGTGACAACATCAACCGTCGTTCTTGTACTGGGTACATGATTTATGTCAACAATGCCCTTGTGATTGCCCACTCAAAGAAACAGGCTCGGATTGAGACCAGCGTCTTTGGGGCCAAGTTTTGCGCACTAACACAGGGTATGGATCAAATGAGGGGACTCAGATACAAACTACGCATAATGAGAATTCCCATGGAGGGACCTACATACGCCTACGGAGACAACATGTCTGTCATTCACAATACACAAAGACCTGATTCTACGTTGAAGAAGAAATGTAATTCGATTGCATACCATGCGTGTCGTGAAGCCGTCGCTGCTGGTGAAATGATCACCGGTCATGTCCCGTCGGAGAAGAATCCAGCTGACCTAGCTACAAAGATTGTACCTCCCGGACAGAAGAGAGACGGATTACTGGACATTGTGATGTATGACTTTCGATGAAATGGCAGTCCTCCTGAGGGCGTCAGGTATGAGGGTTATTAAGGTCCCCCGGATCATCTTGGATCCAAATAAACTGCCTGGACGAAGATTTGATAATAGGTATTCAATGGAACGCAATGAAACTCAGAGAGTGCCATGGGGACTGAATTGAATCCCCCGTGTCGAGTTGACTCGATGGACTAGAATGAGTGGCTATTGCCAACCAATAGCTTATAATTTTGATTATCTCCCTTTTACAACACTGTAACTATTCAAACCCTGTTATTGCTCTGTTATTGTTCAACAACGGGCACATTAACTCACTAGCAATAGCAGCATACGCTTTTGTCTTGACTGCAAAATTTTGGAACCAGGCAACGCCATATAGATCTTGCAGGACTTCAGCCATTTGACGCATCAATAATAATAACTGAGACATTAATCGTTAATATGCTACTCTATGGGCATTCGATTGCCGGTGAAATATTCGGCTGTAAAGGTCAAGTACTGTGAAGCGGTGAGTCAACAACAAGTTTGAACCATTTG